GATTGGGCTGGAGAGACAGCCAGGAGGAAGAAGCCAGTTGTTAGGTGTACCTGGACCTTCACACAGACAGGGAGCCGAGGGAAGGCAGAGACCACTGATAAGGAGAGCCCTCTCTCCCCTGGGCCGCCAGAGCCCCCAGGGCCCACATGGATGTGTGGGTGTGGAAGGGTAACACATAGGCCTTTCCAAGGTGTGCTGATGACTGGTTCAGGCTGCAAAGCCAGGCTCCTTGTTCTGCTGCATGACCACTGGCCTCTAAGAGCCTGACCCCCTGGGAAGACAGAGTCCCAGCATGGGGTGGGGCATGACCACCCTACCTGCTCTTCCTGTTCATCAGTGTCTGGACCAGAGCCAGAGTCCTGCTGGGCCACCATGGAGAAGAACCCACTCTCAGTAGCCTCCCTGCCCTGCCTTGCCTCCCACCCCAATCTCAACAGCCTCTTGCTCTTTTCTTCCTGCCATCTAAGCCCTTCCATCTAAGCCCATCCATTCTCCTCTTTGGGCCTTCATACACAGGCACTGCCTTGCTAGAAATCTCTTGATTTTATAATCTGTGTGGTGAAACACCAGCAGAAACAAGAGTGAGTTTGGGTGCTGGAATTTGGGGGAACATGTAAACATTTTTTCAGCTGTAGTTGTAGAGGTGCTTGAATAAGAACGTTCGAAAGAGTTAAAAATGCTTTCCTTCTTCCTATTCCATCGCCCTGCCTCTCTTTTTTTGTTGGAGCCCATAGGGAGGGGCAGAAGACAAGGCCTTACAGCTGTCCATTAGGTAGGAGCACCAGGAGGAGGCCCAGGGGCTGATGAGAAACGCATCAAGGCACAGTTAGTGCCAGCTGGTATCACAGAAAGCAGCACCCCACCTTGTGCACAGGGGTGCTGGGGGAGAAACAATCTCTCTGGCCCAGAGGGATACTTAAAGTGCTGCTTCTATGGGCTCAGAGCACACATGTCACACCACAGAGAGCCAACCCAGCAACTCAGAGAGAAATAGTATGAGAAATCTAAGAAGCAAGAGAAACAAATCCTCCTGGGCACGGAGCCCGTGTGCAGCGCCTGAGTGTGGGTCTCTGTGCGGTCCTCCACCTTCTTCTCTTCTACGTGTCTCCGTCATTTTCACTTGTCATTTGTGCATCCTTTTCCTACATCAGCTAAAAAAGGTTCCTGGCTGGAGGTGGTGGCTCATGCCTGTAATCCTAGGACTTTGGGAGGCCGAGGTGGGTGGATCATGAGGTCATGAGTTCGAGACCAGACCGAACAACAGGGTGAAACCCCACCTCTACTAAAAATACAAAATTAGCCAGGTGTGGTGGCACATGCTTGTAATCCCTGACTCAGGAGGCTGAGGGAGGAGAATCGCTTGAACCTGGGAGGTGGAGGTTGCAGTGAGCTGAGATCATGCCCCTGTACTCCAGCCTGGGTGACAAAGCAAGACTGCATCTTGGGGGGAAAAAAGGTTCCCACCACCCACCAAACCTGCTGGCAGAACACTCCTGGACAGAGAGGGCACAAGCAGTCACTGCTGCTTTTTGCAAATTAGACACTTGGCAGATATCCTGTGAAGATCAAAGATGATCCATCTGACACGTCCCGCCCAAGCCTGCCCTTCCTTCCCCTTGCGGCTCGCTAGCCTGGGGTCCTTGCCCTACCTGATCCTCGGAGACTGGGGCTTTGGTGGCCTGCAGACCTCAGGACCATGGAGACAAACAGTTCCTCCATAGCTCCATAGACTCTCTCACTCCTCCTGGGCTCCCAGGGCCCATTCCATAATGAGCACCTCGTCTTGGACACAGCCCACTTCCCCTTATCTGCATGGTACCTGTTATTCTGTCTGCCAAGTTCCAGCAGGGAAACTGACTGCCCACCAGCCTCCATCCAGCCTAACAAAAGCTCCTTGGCAATGAGAGGACTTTGGAACGCTCCAGCAAGCGCACTGAATGATCTCTTTGCAGGCACCCATTGTTTTCGCTGCAGTAATTTTTCCTTTTGGCAGCTTTTCTCACCTCTATTTCTTAACGTTTCCTAGAGTGAAAATTTCATTTGTGTTTTTACTTTTGATCGTTTTTTAATGGTCTTTGGCTTATTCTTTAGATGTTTTTAATCAGTTCTTACAGTCCTTCAGTAGTATTACCCTGTAATTCCTTGTTTTTTTTTTTCCCCCTGATACTCATTTAGGTTTCCTGACGTTCAATTAAAATATCCTTGCTAACCATTGTTGATAGGATATTTATGTGGTAATTGAAATGTATTAAAGAAGTTACATTTTGATTTCTGGTTTTAAAAAAGAAACAAATACTCTCTCTACCCAAATAGTACAAGTCTCTATGCCTAAGTACATCTACAATGGATAAAAATACCAAATTAAAAAAAAAGAAAACCAGCAAGATTAGATGGCAGTATATGCTCAAAAGATGTTCTGAGAACAAAAATCAGGTAATATTTTAAAGTCACTGCCTCAAAATTCCATGAAGGAAGGGCAATCTTCTGACATACATTATGAGGCATTCTCCCCTCTCCCCGCAGACACTGAGACAAACTAAGAAAAATGTGATAGTGAAATAGTGAGATACAGCTATACATAAAGGAATAAATTGTTGGTTACAGACCTTAGTCTTTGCTTTCTCCATAAGCAGCAGCTGTGTGGTAAGCGTTGGTATTAACATGCAGATCTTGGGGGGAAGGGGCATTGTACACATTCTACAGTGTTCCTGCCCTCCTGACACAGCTGTGGCACTTGCTTCCCCAGGGGTCTGGGTCCATGTTCCCACCTCATGTTCTTTATTTATTTTGAGACAAAGTCTCTCACTGTAGCTCAGGCTGGAGTGCAGTGGCATGATCTCAGCTCACTGCAACCTCTGCCTCGTGGGTTCAAGGTATTCTTGTATCCCAGCCTCCCAAGTAGCTGGGATTACAGGCATGCACCATGATGCCTGGCTAATTGTTTGTATTTTTAGTAGAGATAGGGTTTCACCATGTTGGCCAGGCCAGGATAGGGCTCCTGACCTCAAGGGATCCACCTGCCTCAGCCTCACAAAGTGCTGGGATTACAGGTGATGTTCCCACCTGATGTTCTACCATTTCAAAGAATGCACCGACTATTGAGGGGCTTCAGGGACTATCACTTTTGCTTTAAAAACTGCAAAGTGAATAAAAAACAAAATGCTTGTTTTTTTCTGGTTTCTCCACCAACAGTTTGCATGAGAAATGTCAAAGGCAGTTGTCCAGCCAATCACGGGGCTACCGGGAATGACCCTTTTGCTATGCTGCTTCTCAGCCAGCCCTGCATCCTTTACTGGCTTCCCTGGGCCTATTCATTTATTTATTTATTGGGATGGAGTCTCACTCTGTCGCCCAGGCTGCAGTGCAGTGGTTCGATCTCGGCTCACTGCAGTCTCCACCTCCTGGGTTCAAGCGATTCTTCTGCCTCAGCCTCCCCAGTAGCTGGGATTACAGGTGGTTGCCACTGCGCCCGGCTAATTTTTTTGGTAGTTCTTAGGCCATTTTATTTTAAGGCATGTGAGCACTGCAGTTGCGCATGGGGATGGAGGTCAACGGGAAGTCCACTGTCCTAAATAGTCATTTCAGCCTAAACAACCCCATGCTGAGGCTGCTCATTAACAAGCAAGGCATCGCAGTAAACCTTGTATTTGCTTTAACACCTATTTATTAAGTACCACAGCCTTCTCTTATCCTGACCCGTCACTGAGCAAACCCCACATTTCAAAAACAACCCAGTTTACAAGTACTCTGTTTCTCCGGGCCTGGAAAAGCCTTTGCATCTATCAACCTAGTTGTCCTTACAGTTGCCTCCTGCAGGGAACAGGGCCAGATCAGATGGCGGCGGGCTCCCTTCCCGCCGCACACAAACATCAGGAAAAGGAGTTGCGGAAGGAATCGAGAAGCCGGCTGCAGAGCCCAGGTCCTCCTCGCTGCTGTGAGGCAGTCGCCACGGCAATTTTCCTGTCCACTGTGGGAAGCGGCACGCTTCACCCCTGAGCAGACGAACAGGACTGGCACGTTTTAATGGGGAACACGGGCGCAGCCTGGGCGGCCTTTTGCTCCGGCTGCGAGGACCGGGCCCGGTGCCAGAATTTTAGTCCCGGGAGGCGACGGGCAGAGGAGAGACCCGGCAACTGCGGGAGCTGGGGAGGCGGCGGGAGGCCCGGCGTCCAACGTCCACTTTATCGCTTGATCGAACTTTCACGTTTTGGGGTTTCCTAACACCTTGGCCCCAAATACTCGAAATGAAGCAAATCCTAAATTAAGGAGTCTTTCCCCACGACGCTCTGTCCTCCTCCCCACATCACCCTCCCGCCGTTTAGCGTTATTTCCAAGGCAATTTAAAAAATCAAGCCAAACAAAGCTCCACGGTTGCTGCCGGGCGCGCGCGGCGAGGGCAGCACATTTCAGCACCAGCCTTGGGGACAGACGCCATCAAGGAGGGGAGGAAACCACCCTCGGCGGCTGAGGCTCCAACGTCACCTCGAATGCTCCCGAGGCGGCGTCGGGGCTGCTGGAAAGCCGGGAGGGCTTCCTCAGGCACTCCCCAGAAACATTTCCCCAGAGAAAACGCCCAACTAGCCACGCCATCTCCCGCCACTGAGGTCCTTTTCCACGGGGGACGTCCCCGCGGGGAGAACAGCAAACGCTCTGTGACCTACATTTGGAAGAGGGGAAGCCCAAGCCCCCAAGCCCCCGCCTGCCTCATGCTAGAGGGACCGGGCGCCCCCAGGCCCGGGAGCCCCTGGACGCGCTCCGAGGCGGCCGTCCACACCCGCGCGAGGGCTTCCCCGGGGCCCGGCGGGAGGTCCCGGGAGAGGAGGCCGAGGGAACCACAGGTCTTTGTGTCGCGTGCATTAGCTGGCGGGTGAGGACACTGGCGCCAGAGCCGTCTCCTCTGGTCTGGAGACTTTCTCCCCGAGTTTCCCTTCCGCGTCGGGCTGGACCGGGGCTGGGTTCTCCCCGCGGACACCTCGGGCGCCGGCCGGGCGCCTACTTACCGGGAGCGGGGTCACGCGCGGGCTTCGTCTCCTGCGCCGTGCTCGCGGGGGACGGCCAGGCCAAGCGGCATCGCTCCGTATCGGGGCGCGGGCCGGGCTCGGGTGAAACGCGCGCCTCGTGCCCCTCCCGCCGCCCGCGGGGTCTCCGCGTCCAGTCACCGGCCCCGCCCCGCGCCGCGCCTCCCGCCCTGCAGGGCCCGACCACGCGGGCCTGGGGGGTCGGGAGGACCCTCCCCCGGCCTCAGACGCTGGGGGCTTTTGCTAGGCCCCCTTTGCCGTGGGGGTCCAGGCGCGGGGCGAGCTGGCGACCCTGCGACCCTCCCCACCCAGGTTCCAAGCTGGCCGCGCCCACTTCGCTGCAGGGTCTCGCCCGGAGCCCGGGAGGGGCCGGGAAATCCCGCCCGCTGCCACCGACGTCACTGCTGCGTCATCGGGGCTCCTGCGCCGGGGCTCCGCGCTCCCCGCCCCCGGCCCAGCCCGGGCCCGCGCCCCCCGCCCCCGGCCCCATACTCGGGCCCGCGCCCCCCGCCCCCCGCCCCATACTCGGGCCCACGCCCCATGCCCCAGCAAAGGACCGTGACCCCGCCGCGCCCGCCCGGACGACCACTGAGGGGCCTCGCGATGCGGGGCCGGGACAGCTGGAGGGACTTGGAGGGCGGGGCCGGGGGGGAAATCACTGGAGGGGTCTGGGGGACTGGGCGGGGTCTCGGGAGGGGCCTGGGGGCGGGGCCGGCGATCAAGGGAGGGGCCTGAGGGGCGGGGCCGGGGACACTGGCGGGGTCTCGGGTACTGGGCCGAGGTCGCAGGAGGGGAGGGGGTGGGGCCGGGGAATCACTGCAGGGATCTGGCGGCGGGGCGGGGGTCGCGGAACGGGTCTGGGGGACTAGTCCACGGTCCGCGAGGGCTCCCTGAAGCCTTAGGCAATAACCTCCCCGGGGTGAGCTCCAGCGCCTGGGCCGTTGGGGCGCGTGCCACTTCCCGCCCTGCGCCAAGGGACACCTCTGACGCCTCCTGCCAAGGCGGGGAACGGCGGAGAAACCAGGAAAACCTGTGCGAATTCGCGATGCCGTGTAGCCACTAACAGGGTGAAGGCTGCCCCGACGTTGCTGAGCGACGGGGACCAGGGGCAGGCGAAGCCCACACTCCGCCAGGAGCGAGGCCGGGAGGGTGGAGGGCGCGTGCGGAGGCGGGGACCCCTCGCGGCCCGGGTTCTCGGAGCGGCTGCTCTCTGGGCCTTGTCCCTGTGGCACCGCAGGCTTCTGAGCTGGAGATTTAAAAACATCTTAGTGGGGCCGGGCGCGGTGGCTCACGCCTGTAATCCCAGCACTTTGGGAGGCCGAGGCGGGTGGATCACGAGGTCAAAAGATCGAGACCATCCTGGTCAACATGGTGAAACCCCGTCTCTACTAAAAATACAAAAAATTAGCTGGGCATGGTGGCGCGTGCCTGTAATCCCAGCTACTCAGGAGGCTGAGGCAGGAGAATTGCCTGAACTCAGGAGGCGGAGGTTGCGGTGAGCCGAGATTGCGCCATTGCACTCCAGCCTGGGTAACAAGAGCAACGCTCCGTCTCAAAAAAAAAAAAACAACCCATCTTGGCGATCACAGTCCTCGTCTTTTCAGGAAAAAAACATATAAGCGCCGTCTGTTTTCCGACTTGGTAAAATAATACGAAACCTTGGGAATAGAGAAGCCACGAAAACATTTCACGCAGTGCTGGCAAGATTTGTGGAGAAGGAGTCCAACATTAATTCCCTTTGTGAGAACAACGTAACATCGTGACTAATGATTAGGAAGTATTTCAGGAAGATCTGCGCCTCATCCTCATCCGCCCTCTGCAAGCAGCCTCTGCCGCAGAGGACACGGGGTGCGTTTTTAGCTCAGATCCCTGGTCTCAGTGACTGGACCTTTGCCCTACACACACGTGCTCCTTCTCAAAGCCCACGGGCCAGATAGGATGCAAACGCGGAGGTCTCAGAGGCCCGATAGGGGCCAGCAAACACATTGATTTTTACAAAGCTCCCAAGTGCCCATTTAAGGCACAAAATTAAACCTTGGCAAAATGTCTAAGCCAGTCAATGTCCGCCATACAGGCTTTTAAAAGTAAGAAAGATACATGAGTACTATCTTGGAAATTCAGCAAATCCAAACCTGAGCTCAGTGTTTTCACCCAAAATCGATTTCTCTTGTATTTCCTGCCCACCTCCCAAGCTGACTGATTAGCTAAGGCAGAATCCCAGGTTTCCTTTTATTCCAAATCCCAATCTCAATCTCAGCCTCATTCCCTTATTTTATCTTTCTAATTGTTACGCTATCCATTCAAGATAGGCTTATGTCCATTTTGAAGAGGAAGAAGAGGTCCGTCAACTAGTGGTTCTAGAGTGGATCCCGAGGCCAGTAGAATGAGCGTATCACCTAGGAACTTTTTAGAGATGTGGACTCCCAGGCCCCACCCAGACCTGAGGAATCAGAAAGTCTGGGGGTGAGGCCCAGCAATCCGTAATTTCCCAAGCCCTTCAGGTAATTCTGACTCTGTTCGTCTCTGGACACCACCCAGGATTGCTGCAGTAGTGTACAGTCTGGTAGCAGGACCCTGGGCACCGGATTTCCTTCTGTATCCCTAGTCATATTCTTTGTTCTGAAGTCTTCGTTTGTATCTATATAACCACCGCAGATTTCTTACTATTAGTGTTTGCATGATATGTGTTTATATGTATTTATATCATTTTAATTTCTAAATCTATCTGTATCTGTATCCTTTTTTTTTTTTGAGATGGTGTCTCACTTTTGTTTCCCAGGCTGGAGTGCAACGGTGCGAACTCAGCTCCCTGCAACCTACACCTCCCAGGTTCAAGCGATTCTCCTGCCTCAGCCCTCCGGAGTAGCTGGGATTACAGGCGCCTGCCACAATGCCCAGCTAATTTTTGCCTTTTTAGTAGAGACGGGATTTCACCATTTTGGCCAGGCTGGTCTTGAACTCCTGACCTCAGGTGATCCACCCGCCTCAGCTCCCAAAAGTGTTGGGATTACAGGCATGAGTCACCTGCGCCCAGCCTGTATCTTTCTTAAAAGTGGGATTCTCCATCTTTGTAGGCAGCACAGAATTGGATCTACTTTTTAAAATCCAGTTTGGCCGGGCGTGGTGACTCACGCCTGTAATCCCAGCACTTTGGGAGGCCGAGGTGGGCAGATCACCTGAGGTCAGGAGTTCCAGGCTAGCCTGACCAACATGGTGAAACCCCATCTCTACTAAAATACAAAAATTAGCTGGGCATAGTGGCGCATGCCTATAATCCCAGCTACTTGGGAGGCTGAGGCAGGAGAATTGCTTGAACCCTTGAAGGTGGAGGTTGCAGTGAGCCGAGATCTCGCCACTGCACTCCAGCCTGGTGACAGAGCTAGACTCCATCTCAAAACACACACACACACACACACACACACACACACACACACATACACATATACATACATACATACATACCATCCAGCTTGACAATGTGGCTTCTGGATTGGAATGTTTAGGTCATTTTCTTCTTATGTAATTATCATATGGTTGTGTTTAAAACTACCAACTTGCTATTTGTTTTCTACTTGTCCTATTCTTCATTCCTTTTTTTTCCTGCCCGAGTATATTCAGTATTCCATTTTATCTCAAGTATTGGCCTTCATTTTCTCCCTCTTTGTTCTAGGGTTTATAAAATGCGTTTTAATTTACCATAGACTACCTTTAAATAACATCATCCCACTTCTTTTTCACTTTAGATTCTGTATAGTGTGTGCTTCCGTTTCCCCTCTTCCATCCTTTGTATTATTTTTGTTATATCTCCCTTTTACATATGTAATAAACCCCACAGCACATTATTTTAAACTGTCAATTTTCTTCTGAAAAATTTAGAAATGATTTCTTAAAGTTTTATTTTGATCATTTTTGATGCTCTTCATTTATTTGTGAAGATCCAGATTTCTATCTGACATGATTTCCTTCTGCCTGCAGAACATCTTTTAACCTTCTCTTGATAATACAGATTGGCTGGTGATTGTCTGTTTTTGCTTTTCTGAATAAGTATTTTGCCTTTCTTTTTGGAAGTTTTTTTTTTTTTTGAGATTGACACCTTGAAGAAGTTTAAAGATGTCATTCGTTGTGCTTGCATACTTTCTCCAAAGAAATTTGCACATCATTATCCTGTTCCTGGATATGTAATGTGTCTCTTTTTCTACGGCTGATTATGAAGTCTTCTATCACTGGTTTTCAACAGTGTGATTTTGAAGTGCCTTGATGTGGTTTTCTTTGTGTTTATGCTGCTTGGTGTTTATTGGACTTCTTGGATCTGTAGGTTTATAATTTTTATAAAAATATTTCAAATTAAAACATTTTCACCCATTATCTTGCTCTTCTTCTTCTGGGACTCCAATCACAGGTATGACAGACCATTTAATTGTACCGTAAGTCACTGAAGCTCTGTTCATTACAAACTTCTTTATTCTCTGTTTCAGTTTGGACAGTTTCTGCTGCGATGTCAAAATCACTGATTCTTTCTTTTGAACTGTCTAATCTGCTGTTAAGCCTAGCCAGTGAAATTTTCTTCATTCACATTCTCAGTGTGACAGAAAAATCATTTCAGATATTCTTTATTTCTGGAAGTTCCATTTTGTTTTTTGAATTTTCCATTTTTTCTCATTAGATTCATGTTTTCCTTTTTATACCTTTGAATATATTGAGCACATTTAATAGCTGTTTTAATATGCTTGTGTGTGAAGTCTATCATTTCCTTCCTTCTTGTTCTGTTTCTATCAACAGCTTTCACCTATTTGGAATGACATTTCCTGTTTCTTTGTATATCTCATAATTTTTGATTCGATGCTAGACACTGTAAATGTCTGTTGTATGCCTAGATTTTGCTCTCTTTTTTTAAAGAATTGGGACTTTGTTTTGGAAGGAGTTACTTACAGATGTTTGATCCTTTTGATGGTTGTCTTAAAGGCTCGTGGCCATTATTACAGGATTAGTTTATTCTAGAACTAATTTAGCTTTCCTACTAAGGTGTGACTCTTCTGGGGTCTCAACTGAATGCCTGCGTGTGCAATGAACTCTTCTCCTTTTTGATGAGTTGGGACTCAGATGTATCCCAATGTGCTGTGAGCTCTGAGAACTGCTCAGCTTACAGCTGCCTGTACATTCTTTGCTCAGACCCATAGAGCTTTGTGTTATGCACATACAGCTTAGTATTCAGCCAGAGCCTCCATGGGACCCACAGGTATTACCCTGTAAGTGAAGATAATCAAGTGTGGGCTTTGTTTTTGTAAAAGATGTTATCCGAAGACAAAGAAAAGCAACCAGGACTTGGTGGTTTATTTGGGGTTGGAAAATTTTTCTGAAAACTATTAAGAAAAGAC